AAATCGTATTCAACAATTTATAAAAAAGATCATACACCATGATCAGGTAGGCTTTATTCCAGGAATGCAAGGTTGGTTCAACATATGCAAAACCATAAATGTAATACATCATATCAACAGGAATAAAGATAAAACTACCTTCTTTAAAAAGCCTCTAAAATAAGAGAAATTACCCCCACACTGTCATTACTTCCAGTTTTTACTGTCCTACACAGTCTGCTTGCTTTTAAATACTCACCAGAAGGGCCAGCAGGTGGTGTGGAGGTTAAAGTACTGGACACTCTTATATGGCAGACCACGGTTCAAGTCCTGGACCTGGTGGCTTGCTCTCTCACTTTCTCACTCTGTGTGTGTGTGTCTCTCTCTGGTCAAATCAAAATAAATGAATGAATAAATAAAATTAAATAAATACTTATAAAAATTAAAATAAACCCATATTCTTACCCTAAAAACACAAACAAACAAAACAACAAAAAACACACCAGAACCCTAAGGTACTTGTTCTTATGTTTTGACCAGAGTTTATTATCAGTCAAAGAATTAGGCTCAGGAAGTTGTACCATAAACAGAACTCTCTTGAAATTGGTGTTTTGACCCCTGGTCAAGGCCTGGCCACACCCTAACTGGTGGAGTGGCTCCTGGCCTCTTAATAGGGGTTCCAGCCTCTAGCCAGGTTAGAGCCAGTTATGCTGGCTCTTGGGACAGTCTTTCCTTTTCTATTGTCATCCTTAACTCCAGTTAGATTGTAAGTTGCATGCTTGTTCTTTTCATTGCAGTATTCTTGGGACCTTGCATGGTGCCCGGCACAGGCAATGTCTGTCTGAATGAACAAGGTTCATCAGATCACGGACTCCCACCTTACCCCCAGCTAACCATATAGCTTTGCTCCCTAGTCATAATAATCAATATTAGTGGTCTCAAATTGTTCACTCAGAACATCAGTGTGGCCAGACATTTCCACTGCGTATTGTCACTCAACGTGTTGGCACTATAGAAAAATGTGTGTTGTATTTGAGAGGTCTGTAATTTCGAACACATGTTCCTATTAACAATGTTACATTTGCTTATTCAGTTTTCAGTCTGGTTCACAAACTCCTGTGAAACTCTAAATGTAGCCAAATTTATGAATGCTTATGCCAGAACAGTATACATAAATACTATGGCACTTCTAGTCATTTTTAAAACCCAGGAAAATAGAAAACTAATACATTTCATATGCTGCATAAGAAAAATGAGTTTTTTTGAGAAGACTGAGTCCTCCAAGGGAGCTGAGATCTAGTACTTTCAGGGAATAAGAGAAAATGAAGATTTTCTGATGAAAAGTCACCCTGCCTTCACTAACTGAGTGTATAGACAGGTCTAATTGAATTGTAGCCAAGCATCTAAACACAATTAGGGTCAATATATTCCTCAATTCCCACTGAATCTGCGGCACAAAGGGAAAAAAACAGAACGGCAAAGAGTTTGCAGATCACCTCCTCCTCACAGTTCAAGATGTTGATGGTACCATTTTTTTTAAAAAAAGGTTTTTGCCATGGGGCATGTGCATTTGCTGGAGAGAGAGAGAGAGAGAGAGAGAGAGAGAGAGTAAGAAATCACCCCAGGGAGGGTGGAGGTGGTGGTTACACCACAGTCCCTTCTCCTCCATTTTCCTCTCAGGATTTTGGGGCATGTATAGACATGTACTGGTGTGTTTTTCAAGTCTCTAGGTTTGGTACTTGAACTGCGGAAGCAGCCATGTGGGATCCAAGTCAAATGCCTTTCTATACTTCTATAGAAGTATAGAAATAAAATGTTTAATATTGTTGGGAAAGGAGGAGAGAGAGAAAAAAATAGTGCAGGGAGACACAAATATTCAGAGTTAGAGACTCAAAGAAATACTCTTTACTGTGGTCACTGGATAAGAGTTATAAGACAAACAATTGTAAAGAAATTTGAAAGACAGAAGCTGCCTGGGATGGGAATAACTGGGACAGAATTAGATAATCAAGTGAAGATATACAGAAAAAAGGGCCTCAGAAAGGTGATGAGTCTGAGACCAGCTGTCCAATAGAACCCTCTGTGATGATGAAGAGTTTATATCTGTGCCATTCCATATGGCAGCCACGGGTCACCTGTAGCTATTGAGCACTTGAACTGGGCTACTGAGACTGAGGAAGAGAATTTTAAATGTGATGCGATTTTAGTTCATTTAGATTTAAACGCATTTATCCGTGCCTCCCTGGTGGCTACCACAGAATTAGGTGCTCCCTGAATGATTCAAGGACATGGGGCTGAGATCTGGAAGGGGGCAGGGTGTCTCCGACCCAGAACAGCTGATCTCTGTACTACGTGGAAGGAGGAAGGCAGGCAAAGCAGGCATGTGGATAAAGCGGAAAGGTGGTCCTCAATCTGAGTAGGACTGATGTCTTTTGTTCATTGTTTTCATGCTTTAAATAAGGTGCAAACTAAATTTAGTTAAAGTCATAAGTAACTGAACTTATTTCAGTTATTCCAACAACTAAAGACTTATAAAAGGCATCAACTTGGACTGCTTTACTGACTTTCAACATCGATATATAAGAAGATGTCCAGATGATCTTGAGAAAGCATTGAAATTTGGGGTGTTATACAGGTAACTTCTAAGGAGTATGCAGAGGGGTCCGGCTCCTCTATGGCACAATGCCTGAATGATATTAGGTGATCTTAATTTGTTCTTCATACCAAATACAATCTCTCGCATGCACACACACACACACACACACACACATACACACACATACTATGACAATCTTTTTTTTTTTAATTGGCTATAGGGTATGTGTGCTAACCATAGAGAGACAGAGAAGAAAAATAAGAAAGTACTCCCCAGAGAGGATGGCCACACCACAATCCCTTCTTCTTCATTCTTCTCTTGGGGTTTTGGATGAGTTATAAGGAAAAAAAAAATGCATGCACATGTACATATGCGCCCAATGTGTTTTTCAAGCTGCCAAGTCTAGGACTTGAACCTCACAGTTGGCCATGTTGGATCTAGCTACCTCAACTACCATGCCACTAGCTCATCCCCATTAGGGTAGTCTTTTAGTAGGTCTTTTTCCCTGCTTCAAATAGTAAAATGCCCTGGAGACTATCTGCTCACTTGGGCAGGTAAAATGGAGAATGATAACTGAGTGATGACATGATTGTTTATTTTGTAGATGTTCTTCAGCTTTTGTGAGAAGAAAGTGGATTATGAAACGTTCAAAGCACTCAATGATGCTTGTCTTGTCTATGACGGCCGACTTGTGATTGACACCAACTTCCACACCAATGACATAGCCATCAGAGCAGCTGGTTCCCTCACCAAGTTCTCCAATAGGTATTACGCAAGTGAGTGGACACACAGAAACTTCAATTCCAAGGAAATTGGCCTCCAGCTGGCAGCGGCCATGCTCAACCTCTTTGATCCAACCCTGGAGCCTGTGACTGAGCCACCAGCTAACCTTGACCGACTCATCCCCATGTACAAGGGAGCCAAGATTCAAGGTGGGTAAACAGCTACTTTGTCCCCTGCATGAAGCCACAGATTGGATCTGGGTCAGCTTTCAGACCAGCCCTCCATGTTTCTCTTAGCCTTGGTGAGGAGGCTCCTCAGTCCCTCAGTGGGTTGACGCAGAGATAGAGGAGAGGTCCATCTCATTTCTTTTCATTAAGTTGACCATTTCTTTATTTTAGTTTTTTTTTAGTTTTTTTTTTTTAGTTTTTTTTGGAGAGGTTTTTGCTATAGGGTGTGTGCGGTCGCCAGACAGACAGAGACAGAGAGCCAGAAAGCAAGAAATCACCCCCCCCCCTTCCCAGGAGGATGGTCATGCCACAATCCCTTCTCCTCCATTCTCCTCTCAGATCTTGGGCATGCACGCACACATGCCCGGCGTGAGTTTAAGCCACCAGGTCCGGGACTCGAACCGTGGTTGGCTACATAGGAGTCCAACGATATAGCCATTATGCCAACTGTTGGTCCCATTTTTCTTTTTTTGGAGGTCCATCTCATTTCTTACATATCTCTCATGAACTTGATGTGATGATGATGATTATTCTTCTTTGCAACTTGAGCATTTATTATGGACCACATCCTAACTGTGGTGCATGTAACAGATAGCAAAACAAACTAAGGGGTGATTTGTGGTTGCTAGCAGAAATACCTGCGACTGGGTGATTTATAAAGAAAAATAGAGGTCTCACAGCTGGCGGGTGGTGGTCTCCCTGACATCTTACACAAAACTTCCATTCTCACTGAACGGTCAGAGATGAGGAAACCCTTCCAGGCAGCCCAGGCCCTAGCCTGCTGTTTAGATGGATAAGCTTAACTATTTGCAGCTGTGAAATAGCCCTCTTTAGCCTCCTAAGCCCTTGTTGATCCCTAAGGAGATGATTTCATGAGTGACACAGGGTTCTGTTATGTTTCGGGGATGAGAGATATTTGAAAATGATGGCTTTTAATACTGTGGACCTTGAACTAGAAAAACAGATATATTTATAAAACTGTATGTCCACTTTTAGGAGGTTCATTGACCAACACCAAAGCCCTATATAGACCTGAAGGTGTCCATGGATGTTAACTGCAACAAACAGAACATCAGACCAAAAAGGCCAAAGCCCCACATTTCTGTTCTGTCTTTTTGTACCTAGTTAGGTGGCCTCATAGGGTCTTGCTCTGCTTCTCACTCTGGGTGAAGCCTTGGAGAGGTACTGGCCACAGGCAAGCAAGAACAGGGAGGGATGACAGGAACCAAAGCTGGACCAGGCTTAGACTTCATGGACGAGCTGAAAGTATTAAAAATTGGGTAATGATAGATTTCTAAAGCACTAAACAAAGAACGTGGATGATTTTCCTTATGAATTTCAATTCTGAATATTTTTGTTTCAGGATAGAGGAGGGATGGGGAATGGGAACGTTGCCATTGCAACGTTCAAGGCTTCTACAGGTCTTGATATGATTTGGGCCAGTGCAGGTTAGGGTGCCAGGAGCTGTGGGAAACCACTAGATACACAGGGTCAGCCTGGCACATCTTGGAGCACTGGTGGCTTCATCATGGGGAATACATGTCATATTTGCATTGCTTAGATTAGCTAAAGCTCACCCATCCCAAGGGAGTTCCTAGCTATTAGCAGTAGGTCAGTAGGAAAGTTTGAGGGGCATACGCCATTGTAGGCGTCTCTGTTTGTTCTGTAGCAGAAGTGTAAGCTCGGTTATACATCTCATCGACAGCGAATTTCATATGTGAAAACTTTGCCCCTTCCTCTAGGAGGTATTCTTCCCGGGTCTTACCATTATCTGCATGTCGCTAAGCCTGCCATCTCGACTTCCTTGGAGGTAAAGATGACACAGCCTGATTTTGTAAGTATTATCTCTGAAATTTTTAAAATTTCAAATATAACACTTTATTTACAGGAGGGTGACATTCTTTACTCAGAGTCTTTAGTGTAATATGTTAGTTCGCACATCGGAAACCCGCTGTGTGGGGGTCAGCCCTCAGGAGGGCCCTCAGTGGTTCTTGCCCCTTGGTCTTCGTGCCCTTGATTGACCCTTCCCACCCATTATTAGAAACTTCCTTAAAGGGACAGACCAAAAACAGCACAGGCTCTTGGCCTGTGTTTCTCCCTTTAGGGAGTCAGGATCCCTAGCTCATCCATTTATTTTTCAAGGACCTTGAACAAGTTATCCAAGTTCTCTGCATTTCTGGGATAGCTAGGGAGCATATGTAAAGTGGCACTGCCTGGAACAAAGCTGGTAGCCAGTCGGTGGTGGATGTTGCTCATTGTAATTCTGGATAAATAATGATAGAGTCTTCAAGGAAAGGGGCAAATGCTATGTGTCTTAGTCTATTTTTGTGTTGCTAACAGAAATACCTAAGACTGAGTGATTTATAAAGAAAAATAGAGGTTTATTTGCAAAACTCATGATTCCAGTGGCTAGAAAGTCCGAAGGCAATGCAAAAGGGCAGAAGACTGGACTTCCAGCAAAGTGCGCTCTATGTCCATGAGTTTCTCTCTCTCATTCTGGTCTCATTCCCTCTCCTTAATGACCCAGCATTCAATCACAGGAGTCCTGCCTTAATGACCTTATCACACCTGAAGACCTCACCCTGGGACACCACGAAGTGGTTACATTTTTGCTTAACACTTTTATAATGCAATCAAGTTCCAACGCATGAATTTCTGGGGGAGGGGCATCCAAACACCACACACTAAAAGCAAATCCCAAAGCATGAACCTTTGGGACATCAGACTAAAGAGGCAAAGGCAAAACCATTACCCAAACTGCAATACTATGTTTGAAACTTGTTTCCAGGCCAGTCTGTGGCCTAGTAGTTGACAGCAGGATTCCAGAGGGCCAATTGCATGATTCAAGTCCCAGACCTGGCAGATTGACAAACACACTGGACGCACGGGCACATGTGCCCAAAATCTCAAAAGAAGGGAGAAATGGAGAAAGGATTATAATGTAACCAATGCCCCATGGGGAGTACTTTCTTATTTTCCCCTCACTTTTCTCCCTGTCTCTCTCCAGTGAGCACATGCTCACTCTGGTAAAATTTAAATAAATAAATAAACTCATTTAATCTAGACCTTTCCTGGTCTCTTTTAGGTGTCCTGTATATGGGGTCTAATACAAGAAAACCATTGGATCATAGGAAATCGTGTTCCAAGTGCTGTTGCTCTATAAAAACCTGGAGTGGCTTAAACTAGCCATTTGATTCTGCTCACATGTTCTGTGGGTCAGAAATTTGGATTGAGCAAGTGTGAATAGCTTGTCTTTGCTCCACAATAGGTGGAAAGCCATAGGTAGAAAGATTAGAAGGCTAGATCAATGGTCCAGACCATCTGAGGGCTTCTTTACTCAGAACTGAAGGCTTGTTACTCACCTGGGCTGGGATGAAGACAGAGAGTGTTGACTAGAATATCCACACCCCAGCTAGTCACATGACCTGGGGTTCCTCACAGCATGGCAGCCTCAGAGTAGCCAGACTGCTTACCCAAGCACTGAGGGCTCCAAATGCAAGTGTTCTAACTAGCAAGTTGGAAGTCCATTACCTCAATGACCCAGCCTCACAAGTCACGCAGCGTCGTTTTCCCCATACTTCCCATTGGAACAGACACAGCCCACTGGGCCTTAAGGGGAAGGGAGCAGAGAATCCACCTCTCAGTGGGAAGAGTGTCGAGGTCATAGTGCAGAAGAGTACATTGGAGGGGATATTGTCGTCGCCATCTTTGGGAAATATGAGCTGTCACCAGTAAGGTGGGGCACTGGATGAACAGGATAAAGCACAGTGTCCAGAGGCTGGGAATGTGGTTATTATAGATAAGCAACCTGAGCCTAATATGTACAAGGCTAGAGAGTACTGGACTTGGTTTCTGACAGAACCAGATTCTTCAAGGAAATGGAGTGCTTTCCTACATGCACTGTCATTTATTTATGAGCCACTGGCTCTTTCTGAGTACTCAGGGAAGGAGCCAAAAGGGGTTTTTAGATAATGAGAGTTTTAATAAGAGTGCAACTTAAATAGATTCTTTGGCTGGTGCAATGACAGTGTTTGAACAGGACCCCTGACTTTAATTAACCGTTTTGCCAGGTGGGCCTCCTTTTTAATTAGTAGAGATCTAAACAGATTTTCCCCCCTATTTTATTATCCAAGGGAAAAAAAAAATATGTAGGATGGTTCCATGGCAATCTTTTGGGGGTTAGAATTAATTTGATTAAGTGAAATCATTGCCAAAATGGTCAGGCGGTCACCTAAATATAGCCAGTTGATCAAAAATGGAGCCCATTAAATAGTATTTTATGAGAGAAACTGAATTACTATTGTTATGATAAATGAGGTAAGATGAGTCTTATCTGCCTTTTTCTAGTACTCACTAACACGAATATTTAAGTAAGAAGATACTTTAGTAATCCATGAGCTCTTTGAGAGGTAACCTGACAAAAGGAAGAAAGGGGACCCCAAGTTGTCTACATAATCAACTAATTTACAGATTCCAGTCCACATGCTTTGTTGGCTTATATACCACAGGAAAAAGAAATTTGTCACAACAAATTCTGCCTTGGATACCATTAAATTTTAAATTGTGTGTTCTTCATAAGAACTGGGAACGTGATTTCTTGAATACCAAGTTGGATTAATCTTGTGTCTTCCATTTGGCATGAACTCCAGAGCTATTTTCCAGCCTTTGTCAAAATCATAAAGGAACGCAAAAAGATAATTGTATTCAGGAAAAGGGGGAGAAAACTACACCAGCACCAGTGACTCCACCAAAATTTTAAAATCAAGATCCAAATTTATTAATGATTTACTCATACACTTAAAATAAAGGAAGAAACTAAACACACCAGCAAACTGGAAAGTGTGTGAAATGGTTATCCTTATGTCAGAATCCCTCACAGGATGGCAGGGCTGGGAGATGCCTTAAGTCATCAGTTAGTGGAATGAATTTCTGTGAAGACAGACAGAAAGGGCATGGACTTCACTGGGTTTTCCTGGTCTGTCAGCACCTTTGAGTAAGAATGATCTGCACTACAACAGTAGTTTGTGTCAGAGAAACCCCTGTACAGGTCAGTTGTTCAATGCAGTGCCAAATATGTTGGTGAGTCCACATTCTCAGGATGCCCCTCCCCCTAGCTAGCATGGTGCCTTCCATGTTAAGATCAACGATCAACCCAACTTCATCATCCCATTCTCTATGGTGTGGCTGCTATCCAGACTCTTTAGGCCTTGGCTGCAATAAAGCAGCACTGTATGTTTAGGATTATGCTGACATAACATAGAGAGGAAACCCAAAGATTGTCAGTCTTTAAAAATAAGACAAAAAAAATTAAAAGCCATTAATAAAGCAAACAGATCTATAACAACAAATCATTGAGAAAAAGACTAAAGACTCAACACTCCTGAGAGAGGTCGACCTCTGGAGGAGGGCTCCTGATGCTCAGACTCTCAAGCTCTCAGCCAGCAACTGCCAGGGCTCCTCGAAAACTTGTCAAGTCACCACCAACTAAGTAACTGCAGACCTTGTCCTGGGGTGCTCAGCATCAGCCAAGTATATGGAATCCAAATCGGCCCTCTTAAATGCAAAGAAGTCCTTGGAAGCTTAAGGTGGGGTATTTAGAGAATCGTTTTAAACAATGATGGTCATTGTTTAAAAATTAGAATCTAGGACCAGCAGATGGCATAATGGTTACATTGCTGGACTCCCACATAGTCAACCATGGTTCTAGTCTTTACAAAATCAAATTTTGTTACCCATGTGAGTAGATTTCAAGATGTTGAAATCCAACCCTTTCATGCTTGGATTCCTTTTTCTTAAAACTCAGTAAAAACAAACTTTAAAAAGGAGGATGAAAGGGTGGCCAAGATCTTGTGGGATTGCTTTCTCTGGTCTTCAGCAAGCCCTGTGGAAATCTCGCGGCTGAAACTATGTCATGGTTGTTGCCAGTGCCCTCTCTCCGACTCCAGCCACCCTACTGCCATGACAAGGAAGTTTCCCCTCCTCGGACACTCACTCACCTTCAGTTTTCCAGCATTTTTTTTAAAACCAAATCATTTCTTATTGCAAAAGGGACTCCTATCACCAGGGCCGAAAACTTAAGCCTAGAGCTGCTGGTACCCAACTCAAATGGTGTTTATTTATTTACTTTTCCAGAGAGGGAGAGAAAGAATGATACAGCACCCCCAACAAGGTCTTCACACCATGATCCACCCCCAACCTCCGCTAGTCCAGATCATGGGCCTATGCATATGTACCAGCATGTACGGGGACCCCAGGATATGAACTTGGGACTTTCCCATGTGGGTCCCTTTGGGTTACCACTGTGTTGCAGCTAGCTCTCAAAGGGTCTTTTTGGTCTTGTATTTAAGCCTAGAAATGCACATGGTCATGTTCTTTACCATCTATATTTATATGTGTATTTTAATTCTGAGATAGTGTGTAATATTCTGAGCCATCGAGTAAAGTTTATGCCAGGGAGTATTCTGTGATGCTGAGAAGTTAAGATGTGAGGAAATGCAAATGAATGAGGAAGCCCATGTGGCATCTAGGACTAGTCAGACACTTGTGACAAGAACAGAGGGTGGGAAGGTGATCAGGTAGGAGACAAGGTTCCCTGCAGCCAGAGGTTTAGGCCTGGATTTTTCCAAACTCTTATCCTGCTTTTGCACAATAACTCCTGCCTAAAACCTGCTTCTCTCCACCCTCCTTCTCACTCTACTTCACTCCTTCTCCTCTATTTCATTTCTCTCTTTCTCTCTCTGTCAGAATTTGTCCATCAAAAGTCTGGCTCCTTGCCACAGTACAGCCAAAGTATTTTAAAATAAGTTTATCATTTTAGACAGGATGGTCATTGTTTAAAAATTAGAATCTAGGGACCAGCAGATGGCATAATGGTTACATCGCTGGACTCCCACACAGTCAACCATGGTTCAAGTCCTGGACCTTAAAACTCATGCTGGGTACATGTGGTATGTTCCCAAAATCCCAAAAGGAGAATGGAGGAGAAAGGATTGTGGCATTGCCATCCCCATGGGAGGTTATTGCTTTCTTTCTGTCTCTCTGTCTAGTGCACATGCCCTATAGCAAAAAAAAAAAAAAAAAAAAAAAAAAAACTCTTAAAACAAAACAAAACAAAACAAACAAAAAACAGGTAGAAACAAAAGGCCTAGCCCCATAGCCTAGTGGTTAAGAATGCCAAATCCTAGGGCCAGAAGGTGGTGTGATGGTTAAGGCACTGGACTCTCACATGGCTGACTATTATTTGAGTCCTGGACCCAGCAGCTTAGAAATCATACTGGACATTGGGACCAGCAGTTAGTGTAATGGCTATGTCGCTGGACTCCCATGTAGTCGACCACGGTTCAAGACCCGGCCCCGGTGACTTAAAACTCACACCGGGCGCGTGTGCATGCACGCCCAAGATCCTGAGAGGAGAATGGAGGAGAAGAGATTGCGGCATGGCCATCCCCCCTGGGGGGTGCTTTCTTGCTTTCTGTTTCTCTGTCTCCGTCTGTCTGGCGAGTGCACGTGCCCTATAGCAAAAACCTCTCCAAAAAAAAAAAGAAAAGAAAAAAGAAATCATACTGGACATTTGCACATGTGTGCCCAAAATCCCAAGAGAAGAATGGAGGAGAACAGATTACAGTGTGGCCATCTTCCCCAATGGGTGATTTCTCACGTTCCTTCTCTCTGTCTCTGGTGAGCACGTGTGCCCTATGGCAATAACCTTAAAAAAAAAAAGAAAAAAAAAAAGAAAGAAAAAAAGAAAATAAAACCAGATCCCGTATGGCTGCCTGTGGTTTCAAGTCTCAGCCCCAACAGCTTGAAAAACACACTGAGTGTGTGTGTGTGTGTGTGTGTGTGTGTGTGTGTGTGTATGCTCCAAAACCTGATAGAATGGTGAAATGGAGAAGGGATTGTGATGTGATCATGTCTCACTAGGAGAGGAGCTTTCTCTCTCTCTCTGTCTCTTTCTCCCTCTGTCTCTCTCTGGCAAACACATTTGCCTTCTGGCAATTAAAAAAATAGAAATTAAAGATAGTAAAGTGAATATAAAAATAAACAGCAAAAATTACCCACTCTTCCAAACCACTGAAAAATGACCACTAACATTTTTTAAAATACTGATACAAGAAAATAGAAAGGTATTGCTGTTGTTAGAGAGAAATTTTTACTATATGGTGCATGCAATCACTGGAGAGACAGAGATAAACAGAAAGCGAGAAATCACTCCCCAAGGGGGATGGCCATACCACAGTCTCTTCTCCTCCATTCTCATTTTGAGATTTTGGGCATATATGCCCACATGCCCAGTATGAGTGTTAAACCACTGAGTCTGGGACTAAAACCACTCTTGACTATGTGGGAGTCCAGCAACATAACCATTAGCTATCTGCTGGTCCTCATACTGTGATTTTTTGTGACCTACTTCTCTAATATAAAATGTACCCTGGACATATTTTGCTGTTATGAAATATGTCTTAACACTAATTTTTATTGGATGCATGGCATTCTATTGTGTGGATGAACCATTGTTTTTTTGTTGTTTTGTGTGTGTGTATGTGTGTGTGTATGTTTGGGTTATTATTTAAGTTTCTAATTTATATATAATAGTTGTACATATTTATGGGTTACAATGTGGTTTTTCCAAACATTTATACCTTATGTAATATCAGATTGAGACAATGAAGATATCCACGATTTTATTACTTTGTGCTGTCCACATTTGAAATTTGCTCTTCTATTTGAAATACACATAGAATAATCTCCAGCTATCATTACTCTACTATGCTATAGTACACTAGAACTCATTCCACTTATCTACTTGCATTCTGTATCTTTTAACTAAGTTCTCTTCATTATCCCCCATCCTCCTCTCCTTTCCAGTTTCTGGTATCCACTATTTCATTCTCTAATTTTATGTAATTGAATCTTTGAGCTTTAACCAATGAGTAAGTATGTATGGTATTTGTCTTTCAGTGCCTGGTTTATTTCACTTAGCGTTATTTCCTCCATGTTGGTCCATGTTTTCTTAAATGACTGGATATTTCTTTTTATGACTGAATAATATTCCATTGTGTATATATACCACATTTTTAGTATTCATACATAAGATGATAATACCCCAAAAGCATAAGTAGTATCAGCATCATAGATAAATGAACTTGTTTGTATAAAACTAAAATTCTTCTGCACAGGGAAGGAGACAATCAACAGAGGAAAGGTACAACCTACAGAATGGGAAAAATTATTTACAAATTATACATTGACAAGCGAACTCAAATATACAAGGAACTCAAACAATTCACCTCACCAGCAAAAGATAAATAAACTTTAAAATGGACAATGAGTCTGGGCAATTCTCTAAAGAAGACATATAAATGACCAGTTTGCCTCCCCCCACACGCACACAAAATGCTCAACAATAATTAGTGAATTACCAGGGAAATGCAAATCATAACCACAGTGTATAACCTCACCCCAGTGAGAATGAGTACTACCATTGTTTGGTTAGATAATGTCTTACTGAGTTTTGTTTTCCTTAAATACTTAGCTATGGGGGTATATTTGCTGTCTACATCTATTTTTTCCTATGAATGATGGACCACTTATATATCCCTTGAAGCACCATCCCACACCTCTTTCTTAATTACAGATGTTCTCTCCTCCACCCAGTTTCTCACACAGACTTGGAACTGGCCCAAAATTTACATGACACGCCTCTTGTATATTTCAGCTTGTACCTTTAATTGATTGAGTATTCTTCAGAACTTCGCAATGTGATGATATCCATATAACTACCAGTTGTCTACATTTGTTTAAAAGTTAAACTTTATGTTCTCGTTTAGACAGAATCTCCAGATAATGTCCAGAACTGAGCAAATGTTTGGAATCTAACATTAGACAGTGGTCTAGCTTGACTTGGATTTCTAAATGCCACATTTTTTGTTCAGAGTAAAAGTTTAAATCTATATGCACTCAAAAAATATTTATTGAGCATCACTGTGTACTAAGTTCAGAGTCTAGAGGCAAAGTGAAGGTTCAGCCACCACCAATAAAGCCCATATTTGTCCACTGAGAGTTCCCATGACCTGAGCTAGTGCAAAGTGTATCTCTGGTTAGTACTCAGTAGCCATCAGAGGTTGAAATAGAAAAAGGAGTCATGATGCAGAATTACAGCAGCATTTTCCTTATCCTTTGGGTTTATATGGCAGTTTTAACTGACTTCCAAAGGGCATAATGTCATAAATTCATAGTTTGTAACAAGTTATAAACTAAAAATCCGCCTACAGAACATATGTGTGCATTTCCCATAGTGTTAAATCTTCTTGCTGAGAACAGATCTTATCAAACACTTGTTCCTCCCCAAACTTGGCTGTTATTAGTCAGGGTTCTCTGGGGGAGACAGAACCAATGGGAGATAGATAGGTAGATAGATAGATAGACATGGCTTGATTATGGTGGCAGAGAAATCCCACACCAGGCTATCTGCAAGCTGGAGACCCTGGGATGCTGCTAGTGTGGCTCAGTCTAAGCCGGAAGGCCTCAGAGGCAGGGAAGCTACTGATGTAACTCAGCAGGGGGTGGGGGCATCTGTTGTGAGTTCTGAAGTTCAAAAGCAGATGAACCTTGCATTCTGATGTCCAGGGCAGCAGAAGAAAACTTGTTCCACTCTCTCCAAAGGTGCCAATCCACCCTCTGTGTTTCTTCTCTCTGGATCCTTCGTTGATTAGATGGTGCTCAAGCACACTGAGGGCAAGTCTCCTCACCCATGACTCACACACTAATCTTCTCTAGAAACATCCCGCACACATAGCCAGAAAAATGCTCTACCAGGTTTCTAGGTGTTCCTTTGTCCAGGCAAGTTGACACCCAAATGTTAACCAACACACTTGCTGTTAAGAATTTGCCTTTTCTTGCTTCTTTTAAGTACTCTGAAATGACTGAAACTCTTTCTGATCACTTTCCACCAGGAGGTTTTTCTCAAAGTGATGCTGGGAAAATGATCAAATTTAACAGTCTTAAAGAAGAGAATGAACTCAGTTCTACTTATTAGCTATGTGAGGTATTGAGTTATAGAGAATTGGTTGTAACCTAGCAACTAATTTAGAAACCTGGAACAATGCAGTCACAGCCTAAAATATCCGAAGGAACATTTGTTCATTATATACAAGTATACAGTTTCTGACCCATTGTTTTCTTCCACTGAGCTTAATCTGTATCTATTACTGTTATTCGTAACGAGTGATAAGATAAACCCTGTCTTTTACAGTTGTTAAAATAAACTGTTCTGATAAGGTTCCCAAAGTTCAGAAATGTTTCCATTTCTTTTTCTACCTCCTACCTCCTCCAGGGTTTAGAAATAGTAACAGGAAGTGCAAAAAATGGGACTTACTTCCGAATTCATATTAACAAGTACAAGATGGTGGAAACCATCACATGCCTTTCTAAGGAGCCTTTCCCTGTCTCCAACTACATCCGCTTGTTTGGGCAGCACGAGCAAGTCCTCAATAACCTGTGTGTGCGGTATGACAACAACCTGATCACGGATCTCTACAGGTAAGCTGCACGTTGCGTTGACTGTGGAGGATGTAAATATCCAGGATGCCTATGATAAGACTTGTGTGCTGTGATGCACCAGAGGACAAGATGGAAATCCCCGGAACGAGCTTAGAGTGACTGATATTTTGATCTACTTTAAAAGGATATTTGACCATTAGCATTGGCATTGGCGGAGGGTCATGAAGAAGCACATGGACTCCGCCTATGTCCACACATGGCTCCTGCTTCCTTGCACAGGCCAGGACCCCAGAAGCAGCCATATACACCATGGATGGGCTTCAGTGAGATGACATTCAAGCTCCTTTCCACACAGGGCTGCTAAAGGCAGTGGTCAGAAATGGAAGTGGTAGATTTGGAAGCAGGATGTGGAAGAATCTGGGGGTAGGCTGTGTGTGTTCCTAGCCATCTTCCTCAGCAGGCAGAGGGTGGCCATGTGTCTAAGATCTTGATAAAGGAATTCTTGTCCTGATAGCTTGGCTAGATCACCTGGTGATCTAAATCTCTTATCTTTTCAAATTCTAGGACGTTTTTTATCCTCTCCTGTAGGAAAGCATGAATTTTAGCACCGAGACCTACCCCTGAGTGCAGCCTGCGACGTAGTAAGTTTAGGAGAATTTCTCTCTATCCACAAAATATGACGATGACAGAACCAAGACCAGACATAGATGTAGGATATAAGTCATGAAATTCCAGTGTTTTCTGTACCTGTAGAATAACTGCCAGGATCAAAATAAATCCCTCTTCCTCCCCCAGCCCCCAAATTGCTATAGGGCATGTGCCCTCACCAGCAAGTGAAAGAGAGACAGAGAAAAGAGGAAAGAGAGCAAGAGCACCCCTTCCTTGGGCTGGCAGGTGGCACAGTACTTAAGGTACTGGATTCCTACATGGCCAACCGTGGTTCGAGTCCTAGACCTGGCAGCTTGAAAGTCATGCTGGGCATGTGCATGCATGCCCAAAATCCCAGGAGGAAAATGGTGTGACCATTGGGGATGACTTTTTGTTTTCTCACTGTCTCTGTCTCTCTCCCGTGAGTGCACACACTGTATGGCAAAAACCTTGGAAAAAAGAAAGGAGAGAGAAGGAGCACCTCTAATGGCGTGTGGTCACACTGTGGTCCTTTTTCCACCACTCCTCCTTCCCATCAGTATTTTGGGCAAGCATGCACATGCCCCTAGTACATTTTTCAAGCTGCTGAAACTGAGATTCAAACTATGATTGACCATATGGGGTCTAGCTTCCTTAACCATTGTTCTACAGGGTTGGCCTAAACCTCTCCTTCTCCTTAGAAATTGTTTTAATGGGGAACCAGATGGTGGCGCAGCAGTAAAACCTGACATGCTGCTGACCCACGTGGGAAGGTTCTGGGTTCATGTCCAGAGATCTTCCTGAATATACTGGGCATGCTCACGCCCATGATCTGGGGCTGGCTGAAACTGGGAGTGGAAAATGGTGCCAGGACCCTGTTGTAGGTGCTGACTTTCTATCACGTGTGTGTGTGTGTATATGTGTGTGTGTGTGTGTGTTTCCCAGTCATAGAAGAAATAAACTTAAAATATTTTTTGTAATTGTAGAACACATCATACAAGCAAATAAGTATGTGAAACATGTGTATGCTTTATGGAATTGTGATATTGAAAATCTGTCCTACCTTCTACATTAAGACGTAATTCCTGGGTCCAGCAAGTGGGATGGTGGTTCAGGCGGCTGGATCCCGCATGATCGACTTTGCAGTTTGAGTCCCAGACATAGTGGCTTGAAAAACATTGTGGGCACATGTGTGTACATGCCTAAAATCCCTAGAGAAGACTGGAGAAGGGAATATGATGTGACCATCTCCCCCCTTTGGGGGGGTGGGATTTCTCACTTTCTTTCTTTTTCTCTCTTTCTCTCCCTGTCTTTGTCAGCAAGCACACATGCCCGATAGCAGAAAACTGAAAAAAATAAAATAAAATAAAATAAAAAAATAAAAAAGAAAGAAAGAAAGAAAGAAAGGAAAAATAACTCCTTAGCTCAGGACTCAGAAACAGTAGCCACCGTCCTGCAGTTGGAGTGAGTCATCTGGCTTCCTCTAAAGCAGGGGTCCGCAGACTTGTATAAAGGGCCAGTGGTGGCCTTTGTCACAAGTATTCAGCTCTGTGGCTGCAGTGAGAAAGAAGCCAAAGGCAACAAGTAAACAAAAGGGCAGCTCTGTCTCAGTGAAGCTTCGGTTACCGAAACAGCCTCCAGCGGAGTGGCCAAGGTCGCAGTCTGCCAACCCTTGTTTCAAAGGTGCGCTCACACACGTGATTTCCTAAATAATTTATGTCCTGGTCTGTTCCCTGTTGCTTAGTAACTGAATACTGGAAAGTGGGTCATTTGTAAGGATAAATGTTTATATGGTTCATGGTTTTGGATGTCCAAGGTCAAAGGGCCACATCTGGTGAGCGCCTTCTTGCTCGAAGGGACCTTTGCAAAGTCTTGAGGTAGCACAGAGGATCACACGGAAAGAGAAGAGTGTGTCCGTGTCTGTGTCCATTTGTCTCTACATCGTTCCCTCTCCTTGCACACCTGCCGGGATTCAATCATGGGGCAGCACCCCACTTAAGGATCCTAATACCGCCTTTAAACACCGTATTGGGATTAAATCTTCACCCTCTCAGCTCATTGGATTTTGATACATGAATTTTTAGAGACACACTCAAAACCGTAGGAGTGTATGAATTTATTTGGAGTCAAATCTGTGACCTGCTAAGGTAGTCACCATCCTTACAACGCTAACATGTTTGAGCGCCGTCCACGCCGAGATACGTAGCTGTAGTGCATTTGTGCTCCCATCTGTACTGAATCCCACCGTATAGTTCTGTCACGATTTACTCATGGACTTTCCTGTTGATTCATGTCTGAACTGTTCCCAGTTTGATGCCATGACAGACAGTATCGTGAGCACTGTAGACACGCTTCCAGTACAGAATTTTGCTAGGGAATCCTAGCCCTATAACTGCTGGGTCATGGGACATGCACTCCTTCATCTTCCCTAGGTGATGTTCAAATGTGTCCCAGAGTAGTTGCCTATTTAAACTCCTCCCAGTGTGTATAAGCATTCCTCCTGCTTCCATAGCCTCATCATTTTAAATTGTAGAACACACCAGTATATGGAAGATGTACGCACACTCGAAGGAGTCAAATTGCAAATGCATGTGCCTACCAACTACATTAAAAAAATAATAATGATAATTATTATTATTATATTATTATATTCCTGGGGGCGGGCAGGTGGTGTGGTGGTGAAGGGCGCTGGGCTTCTACATGCTGACCACGGTTCAAGTCTCAGACCTGGTGGCATGCTTTCTCCCTCTCTCTTTCTCTCTTTGCCTCTCTCTGGTCAAATTGAAAAATAATGATAATACATAAATAATTCTAAAACAATAATAATAATAAAAATAAAGCCTAACCTTGGTACTACTAGGTTTTAAAACTTGGCTGATGGGCCAGCCCGTCGTAGTTAGGTGAGCCAGATTCTACATGGCTGACTGCATTTCGAGTCCGACCCTCGTGGCTTGAGGAACTCTGCATGTGCATGCATGCCTGAGGTCCCAACCGGACGGAGGCATGGAGGAGAGGGATCGAGTTGGGACATGTCCCACTGGGAGGTGCTTTCTCCCACTACCACCACTCCTGCCCCAAACTCTCTTCACTTTCTGGTGAGTGCCTACACCCTCTGGCAAACAAAAGAAATTTTGGACAGTCTGATGGTATGCAAGGTATTTTCCCTCGGCTTTAATTTGCCCTTCCCTGATTAATAATGGAGTTAGATGCTTTTTCATTTGTTCATAGGCTGTATGTGATAGTTTCTGTGAAATGCCTATTGATGACATTTGTCTATTTGGGGATGTGTGTCTTCTTATTAATTCACAGGAGTTATCTATTATATATATGCTGGATACAAACTTGTGTTGTTTATATATATATATATATATATATGTGTGTGTGTGTGTGTGTGTGTGTGTGTGTATACACACATAACTATTACGTAATTATGCCAAAGGTCACATGCATGCACATAAAAGAGACAGAGAAAGAAAGAGAGAAAGCTCTTCCCAAGAAGCCCGGTCACGCCACAATCTTTTCTCCTCCAGCTCTCCCTCTCATCAGGTACCTGGGCACGTGCATGTGTCCCTGCTTGTTCTCAGGGTGATGGGGCTAGAACTTGAACCCTGGTCAGCCATGTGGAATATAGGTTCATTAAAAATACACTCACTTTTAATGGTTCTATATCCTATAAATTTGCTAAGCTCCCTCACTCAACTAGATAATTTACCTATAGATTCTTTAAAATGTTCCTATATATTCTTTAAAAGATTATATCATCTGGGAGTCAGCAGGTGGTATGGTGGTTAAAGGTGCTAGATTCCCACGTGACTAACCACGGTTCGAGTCCCAAACCTGGCAGCTTAGTTTCTTGCTTTCTTGCTCTCTCTCTGTGTCTTGCTCTGATCAAATTTAAAAAACAAAACAAAACAAAACAAACAAACAAAAAAACAGAAACAAAAACAACAATAATGATAACTAAAATAAAGGAAATAATATTTTCGTTGTTGTTGCTTTGTTGTAGTTTATTATCTTTTATCTTGAATAAGGTCATAGAAAATTGTTTGGTTTAGCTCTCAGCAGCCTGCTCCTGAGCTCTAAGGAAGCTTGCCTTCTTCTGGGCTACCCTATTTTTCTTCTGGGCAAGGGATATCTTGAGACAATTCCACCTCTTTTTTTAACTTCTTTCTTGGGTTTCTTTTCATAGACTGGGTTCTCTCATATAGCAGTGTGAGCTTTCTTACACATCTCCTCCATATCTGGAGTCACATTGTTCTTTATGTACTGAGAGAACTGTTTCTGGTAAACATCTTCATCTTCTTCCATCAGGTAACGCATGTAGTCTGCAACGTTCTGGCCCATGATGTGCTTCCGATGGACTTCTGCATTAAATTCTTGCTTTCAGAATCATAACCAGGGAATCGTTTGGT